GTACATCCCCCGAGGGCTGTCGGGCTGCCAGAGGGATTTCTGATTGCCATCTTAGGCCCAATCCCCCGGGGAGCGGGCATAAGCCTCCTGAGGGGCCCAGACTGCGAGAGGGCACAGGCTGGGCTGAGGGACCCCTCCCCCCCCCAGAGTGCACAAATTTTTGTGCACCGAGCCTCTAGTTATGTTATAAAATTCTAACTATAAATTGAAATATTAGTGGCCATAATTTTACTATTAAAGAAAACATCTAAGATCCTCTCTTGGTAGTTCAGATTTTCTTACCCACCCTCTTATGTTTAATGTTATATCTCTTAAGTTGCCCATATTTCATCATGGGAACATTGACTTCAGGAAATGCCTTATATATTACTCTATGACATATTTTAGACATGTAAGAAAAATGAAATAGTTCATTAAAAGTGTATGTTTTTCTTAGTTGCAGAACTTGAAGTGAAAACCAGAGAAAAATTAGAAGCTGCGAAGAAAAAAACAAGTTTTGAAATTGCAGAGCTTAAGGAGAGATTAAAAGCAAGTCGTGAAACTATAAATTGTTTAAAAAATGAAATCAGGAAACTGGAAGAAGATGATCAAACAAAAGAGATGTAAACAGTTCTGAAGAGAACTTGGTAGGAAACTAAACTGAAAATAAGGTGGACTTTGAAGGGGAAATGGATTGCAAATGCTTCTTAGAGAGCTGCATATGTAGTTGTTGACCATCGGTTCCTCAGCAATGGGGTCAAAGTGTTCGTACTTTTCAAGCAATATTTAATGTGGAACATATGTATATAATAGATATGAATTCTGTATAGGCATTTTAACCCATTTTAGGGTAAATTCTATGCTGTTAAGCACAATTAAAAACTTTTTTTTATTACATTGTATAGCTTATCCTTTAGACAGGCATAAAAATTCATTATAGCCCTAACCGGTTTGGCTCAGTGGATAGAGCGTAGGCCTGTGGACTGAAAGGCCCCAGGTTCGATTCTGGTCAAGGGCACGTACTTTGGTTGCGGGCACATCCCCAGTAGGAGGTGTGCAGGAGGCAGCTGATCGATATTTCTCCCTCATCGATGTTTCTTACTCTCTATCCCTCTCCCTTCCTCTCTGTAAAAAACCAATAAAATATATTTTTAAAAAATCATTATAAAATGTGATTTATGCACAGTTCGTACTTCCCTGGTAGTTAGAATTCGTGGTAAAATTAATGTGTATATTTAATTTCTTAAGTTCTTAACTGCCTTCATCCTGATTCCTTTTAGTATTACAAGTTTATTTAAGTCATAAAAATGATTTTTTTATATATTTTATTGATTTTTTACAGAGAGGAAAGGAGAGAGATAGAGATAGAGAGTTAGAAACATCGATCAGCTGCCTCCTGCACATCCCCCACTGGGGAAGTGTGCGCAACCCAGGTACATGCCCTTGACCGGAATCGAACCTGGGACCTTTCAGTCCACAGGCCGACACTCAATCCACTGAGCCAAACCGGTTTCGGCAAATCTTCTGTTTATACTGTTTTACTTTACAGTATTCTACCATATTAATTTCCATGTTTTCTGAGGTTTACTGCTGCTTGTTTCCACTTCTCTTTTATATTCCTTAGTTTTTCACATTTCTTTTGAAGTGTATTTTTTCATCCAGATGTATAGATTTTGAATTTGCAGGTTGCACTTTTGCTATAAGATCATCATTCTGGTAATCTCTTTTTCTAATTCACCATTTTTCTTCATTTCTTGATGCAAGCTATATTGCAGAGATAGGTTTAACTCCATATATTTCTTTAACTGTTCCTTTTCATGCTGAGAACGATCCCACTTCCTCCGAGCTCCAGCGCTGGGCGGCAGCATTGGGTGAACCAGGGACATACAGGGAGGAACTGGACTGTCTGACATCAGGGCAGGAATTCAGGGGTGGCTTTCTTCCAGATGGAGGTGCTCCTAGGGGTCATTGTTCCTCTTCATCCTGACTCTTTTGTATTTGATGTGCCAGTATCCAGTAAATACTCAATAAACGTAGTTTACCGACCCGTTTCCTGACTTGTAATGTTTCTTCCTTTCTCTGATGACTGGAGCTCTATCATTACAATTAATGTCTTCATAGTATTGTGATCACACATCTTTTATTGGCATCCATTGTAGTAACAGAAGCTCTTTGATGGCAAAGATCACATCTTAAGCATTGTTCTGCCTAACTACCCTGTAGTGTCACTAGTTTTCACAGGGAACAATTTAATCTCTCATCCTGTCCCAAAGACGCACAGGAAGCACCAGTGCATCACTGTCACATTTACCCCTAATTTCTCTACCTCTTCCTCAGCCTCTTCTGTTCACATCCACATGGTGAGCCCTCTACTTTTGGACTCACCTACTGTGATTTGAGCATTTAGTAGTACTTAATGTATAAGACCATGGTGGCTGAACTATCTTCGCAACTGAGGGACAACAATAGATAGGAAAGTATTTTGGAAAATGTAAGTAACACCCTTGCCAGGTAGTTGCTTAGAGCATCATCCTGATACATCAAGGTTGCAGGTTTGATCTCCAGTCAGGGCACATACAAGAAGCAGCCAATGAATGCATAAATAAGTGGAACAACAAAATCGATGTTTCTGCCTGGCCAGCGTGGCTCCATGGTTGAGCATCGACCTATGAACCAGGAGTCATGGTTCAATTCCTGGTTAGGGAACATGCCCGGGTTGTGGGCTTGATCCCCAGTTAGGGGGCCTGCAGGAGTCAGCCAGTCAATGATTCTCATCATTGATGTTTCTATCCCTCCCTCTCCCTTCCTCTCTGAGCCATAAAGGATACAACCCAAATATCCATCAGCGATGAAGGAAGTAAAATGGGGCATAGCCATACAGTGGAATGTTATTCAACCTGAAGGAAATAAGTACTAATTTTGCTACAACAAAATGAATCTTGAAAACAAATATAAATGAATAAAGCCAGACACAAAAGCCACATTTTATATAATTTCATTTATATGAAATGTCCAGAATAAGCAAATTCTTAAAAATAGAAACTTGATTACTTGTTGCCAGGGGATGGGGCAAAGGGGATTTCCATTTGGGGTGATGAAATGTTCTAGAGTTAGTAGTGATGATTGCACAATCTTGTGAATATACTAAAAACACTGAATTGTACATTTAAACCTGGTTTGAATACTATGTAAATTTATCTCAACATTTGTAAAACATGACAAGTTTTGTTCAGAATTTTAAAGCAAACATTAAAAATACAAGGTTTTGATTTCTATTTCTCCATTCTTGTACAAGTGGAAGAGAATATGTGTTTACCAAGGAATAATTACTTTTGAGATAACGACTAAACAAGTAAAGTCAGCTAATTAGGTAGCTCACTTCTTTAAAGAGGAGCAAAGTGTAAGTCTCATTTTTCTAAACAGTGTGGTAGATAGATAGGGCTGCTATCCGTATTTTGCATGTAAGAGATAGGAGATTAAGGGGTTAGTCATCTAGCAATGTGACTCAGACCAGTAATTTACAGCCTTTCTGCCTCAATAACACTTAATTCTTCTCATGTTCAAAGCGTTAGCTCATGCCTAAATACTTTGAAAATTTCTTTCCCTGGAGTAATTTAAGACTGTCAGATTTGAACATCAGGTGGCATAAATACAAAACATTGAGATAAGAAGCTTGCTAGCCATTAGTAACATGTAAGAAGATTCTGGTAAGTTCTGGTAGGTGGAATATTAAAGAACAGATATTGGAAATCTCTTGTACAAGACATTCCTTAGCATATCCCACTAATATCTCCAGTTGGTTTTTAAAAAAATAGTAATAGACTTTAAACTCTTGAGATTGAAGCCAAGGAAAATGAGGAGTAAAAACAGGAGTAAATACTGTTTTTAGAATTGCAAAGAATTTTTAAAAGTACAGTGAGAAACCCAGAAATCATAAAGTTCTGAGTTCCAAATTGAATGAGTTTAGGAATCTCCTGAGATTTGCTTTAAAGTACAGTCATGTGTCACAGGGATACCTGCTGAGAAATGCACCATTAAGGGGTTCTGACATACAAACATCAGTGTGCACTTACACAAACCTAGATGGTATCGTCTGCTACATACCTGGGCCCCGTGGTATAGCCTTTTGCTCCTACGCTACACAAGCCTGCACAGAGTGTTACTGTGCTAGATACTGTAGGCAAGTGTAACACCATGGTAAGTATTTGTATATCTGCACTCAGAAAAGGTACACAAAATGTCTGAGGCTGATGCCCACACATAACACAGCAGTTTTACAGCAAACCTTTTTTTAAGTAGAAAGAGTACACTCTAAAATGACAATGAGGACCGGCCGCTGTGGCTCAGTGGTTGAGCGTTGACCCATGAACCAGAAGGGCACATGCCCAGGTTTCAGTCTCCATCCCCAGTAAGGGGCATGCAGGAGGCAGTGGAGCAATGGTTCTCTCTCATCATTGATGTTTCTCTCTCCCGCTCCCTTCCTCTCTCTGAAATCAATTAAACAAAATGACAAGAAGTGTAATGTAGTAAATACATAAACTAGTAACAGCCGTTTATTATCAATATCGTGTGCTGTGCATAACTGTATGTGCTACACTTATACAACTGGCAGTGCAGTAGTTTTGTTCACATCAGCGTCACCACAGACATTTTACAGCAGCTGTATTGTCATTAGGAGATGGGAATTTTTCAGCTCCCTTATATTCGTATGGGACCATTGTGATATATGTGGTTCATCAGTGGGTTGAAACATTATTCAAAGCACGGCTATAGATATGTAATTACTCATGGTGAGAGCAAAACTCAGCCCTGGCTGGCATGGCTCAGGTGGCTGAGCATTGTTCCATTCCCTCGCGGGGCACATGCCCGGGGTTGTGGGCTTGATCCCTAGTAGGGGGCGTGCATTAGGCAGCTGGTAGATGTTTATCATGGTTGTTTCTCTCTAGAACTTTCCCTCCTTCTCTCTCTAAAATCAATAGAAGCATATTTCTTTTAAAAAGAACCAGCCCTGATTTTGCCTCTTGTTTTCTTGCATGCCTCAGATCAACTTAATGAAAGTGGTGAGCAACTGGCCGCTGGGGGCCATCACCCATGTCACCCTAATCAGAGTCATAGAAAGCTATCCGTTTACATAGGCAGGGAGGTTGTAGCACTGTCTCATCCATGGTCTTCTAGGTCAGTAGGAACAGCACGCTATTTGCCCCATTTTACAGGCTAGTAAACTGACTCTCAGCCACTAGTGATTGGAATCAGGAAAAACTCTCTTTGACCCTTACAACCTCGGGTGATGGGTATCAGCATGAGGATGGCCCCCCAGAATCCAAGCAGCAGGTGGCTGTGGCGGATGGAGACGGGGCTACCCAGAAATGCCCTAAGGGGTCAACCCTCATTCAACAATCAGTCCGCGACACTCCTACCACTGTCAGAGCCAAGCGGGTGGAATCGTCATTCTCTGCCTCCGCCAACTTTTCCACACCAAGGCTGCTCTCGAAATTCATTCTAGGGATCCTTGAGTGCCAGAAGCCAGTCCATCCTTGCTGCTTGACACAGTCGCTGCAGGGAAGAAACATCTGCACAGCATATGTCTCGGGGACCTGGCCTATATAGCATACTGTTCTTAATATGTTTGCTCCCCTTCTTGGCACTATGTGTTTTAACCAAGGTCACCTCTCTGAGAAAGGTTGTTTCCCCAGGTAGGGATTTTTCCCTGAAGTTAGGGAGGGAATAAAACCCCTTAACTAAATGCCAGGCGGGTAGATTATGTATGCCTTAAGCTACATAATCTTTACTCCCGGGAATGGAGATAAGAAACGCCCTAACCTTTGCAATAGAAATTGACAGGATTAAAATCAACTGGTATAAATACAGTTACAGCCAATCAGCGTCACAGGCGTTGA